TTGACTGATGTCGTCAAGCTGATCTGGTGATTCAACGAATACTGCTTAAGGTGGATGATAAATGAAACAACTATCTGTTTCTGAATTCTGTTGATAATTGAGTCATGTCGGTGGAAATGACAACCAATGCCCTTACTCTCCGTCTTACTCTCAGGGTGATCTCAGTCTCTTACTCATAATTGAGTAGCCACTTGCAATTTCTCATATATCTACAGACACAAATGATAATTATATAGGGATTAATGATGCAGTGGAATGGTCACTATTCCCAGTCTAATACGATAAATCACGCAAACAGTACGAATTTGGCAAAAGTCAAGTTCATCCCCAAAACGTCTGTTGCAAGTCACCGAGTTGTTCGCCCTCTAGATTGCAAAACAATAGATTCTTTAATCATTACACCAATCAAATTATGAATAAGTAAAGAGCAACTGAACCATGAACAGAAAAACTAGAACGCACTGGACAGCTGTTTCGACATGATTGCGTCTCATCAGCATCTATCACAAATAACAATAATGATCTTCGATGAATGTTGAACAGAATCATCATCCTTCGTGCAATTCGGGTTTAACTTGCTACTAGACCTTTGAGACCGCCCCCAATTTCCACCATTGAATGCACTGGCGTCAAATGCGAAATAAAACAGCGGCTGTTTCCTTGAATTCATTCACTGAATTTCTATTGGTTCACACTTACCTTGAATAAGTTTGGTGCCAAGTCTTGTTCCATCGGGTGTGTAATGTTTCTGTTGGTCGGCGCACGATACATGCTCCACGCATCCCCAAGACCTATCCAGTTTTGTGAAAAGTAGATGGGATACAAGATAGGGATTAGAAAAGCACAAGATCGTTGCGTTACGTGTAATCATACAAAGAAAATCTCCGGAAGATGATTGGTACAGGTTAGCCCGTCTTCACCGATTTCTTTGTGTTCTTCGGGTGTCTGGCTTCTTCCTCGTCCTCAAAAATCAACTGTATTTAATTAACAAAAAGCAAGTAGAAGAATATTTGTTTTTACTAAAAAGTCTGCATGGTAGTACAAATCGAATCCTCTATTCATTTTAACCATAGCTTAACGATTTATTCTGTGTGGACAATTTTGACTGCCGTCATTGTCATGTTCTGTAGCAGAATAAATGCTGGTTTTTGCATCCACAGCATTCAGGCTGCCAACTCCATTTTGTCCGATCAACAAGTATGAGAGTCAAACAACTACAATCGGACCTTGACGACCACTTCTTGATTTTAATTGAATTTAACAAAACTCTTACAGTCAGAAGGTAAGAGTCAATCCACCCCCGCCAATCATAAGCGGACCTATTGGATTCAGTGGATGTATTAAGTCAATTGAAAAAGTATTGATTCATTATTCATTTACTCTCCCTTACGGATACTTCTGGTTGGCGTGCGATATCCTACACACACACACACACACACACACACACACACACACACACA